AAAAAAAAAAAATTATTTTTTCTTATGAAAAAATAGTTTTTTTTTCTGAACATTATAGGATAAACAAAAAAATTTTACCATCAATACTTACGGAGATATGGATGCATGAAGTTTGCAGAAAATGAGCCGCGTATGGCAACAGCGGCGACTGCCGCTCACCCGGTAAACTTTGATTTACTTGTATTTGAAGGTTTGTTGTTTTTTTCACTATTTTATTTTTTCACATAACTTATGTGGCCTATGAGACCAAAGTAAGGTGCAATGTACATATATACACTCGTTGTGTACAACACAATAAGCACACAAACATAATTATCAATATATTGTTTACAAAACTTGTTTACAAAAACAAACAATACAAAACATTGTTTATTATTATTGTTCTATAATATATATACCAATATACAGTCACTGAACATATTCCTATTAGTTCTGCAGCTTGTGGAACTCTGAAACATGGTGTCATACACAATGATGTTTTATCTTTCTTCCCTCATTCTATCTCTTTCAATCTGTCTCTCTCTTTCTATCTGTCTGTCTATCTCTGTTGTTGTTGTTAAAGATTCGCCGGTATTTCCCGGCCCGGGCCCTTCCAAGTGGTGGCCCGGCACTGGCTTCCCTGTCTAGGGAGTGTCTGAGACCTAAGTCTGGGAGGAGGCACAAGTACCCCCCTCATCTTGTAAGGTACAAACTCGGGCTCTGGCACCAACCATGCCCTAGAAGGGCAATGCATGGTGTCGATCGTGCTAGCGCTGTGCTCTCCTGTGTGGAGTGTCGTGTGTTGGTGTTCATTTTTCATTCATGTTGATTCGCAGGTCCTTCTGGGCCCAGGTCTTCTCCAGATGGTGACCCGGCAGTGGCCCCGCGGGTGGGGGGTGACGATAATCATCTTTCTTCTTTCTTGGCCCTCCGGTTGGAGGATGTCGTCTTCTTCTATCTTGCGCTGACTTCCCCAAAGAGAAGCGCAGTCGGGCAGAGGCAGCAGTTACAGGGTTGATTGGAGCCACACCCCAGCTTTAGCGGACAGCAAAGTGCTGGGTGAATGGTCATGGATAGTCGTGCTAGACGAGGGTACCGTCTTCAAGGTCCCTATTCTGAAGCATCCTGGGAAATTTTCCCCTTTGAGGTGTACTTGACTTCCACAAGGTGTTGGGTGTTGGCAGTGAGTAGTCTGGTCATGTCTTCAGTGGTGTATGTAGCAGTTTGGTCGTAGGTATACTTGACTGTTCCGTCCTGGAGGTGATGATGGATTTCTGAAGACAGCATTGTGTTCTTATACTCCTTGGTTGTGTAGAAGTATACACCCTTCAGATATCAGACCCGTTGTGGTGCAGCAGTGTCAGTGACAGTGGCACCGTGAGGTGCATCCGCAGTGTCTTGTGTTTTTGCTTTCTTGGCTGGTGGCTGAACTGGTGAAGGCGAGATTTTCCGACTGGTCAGTTGCTCTAGCAGTGGATGAAAGCGGTAGTGGACTCTCATTGGTGGGTTTTGCCGATGTCTCAGAGGTCTCTGATTGGTCCATCTCTGTGTCTAGTGGAGGTTGTGACAGCGGTGGAGCAGCGGTGATGCTGGTTAATATTTGCAGTAGATTTTAGGATCTCAGTGGAAGGTGGTGATGCAGGAATGTGAGGCCAGGCATATTATTTAGTTTGAAAAGTTCATTGATGGTGGTGTTTGAAGGAACCAGGCTCAGCTGCATTCTGTACATGAGCATACATAATGCAACAAAGAATCTTGGTGGAGTCGGCAGTAGGTGCTGGCAGGGAAGTGGTGGGCGCAGCTTGCGTGGCATGTAGTATCTTGGTAGTGTCTGCTTGAAGCTTGGCGATAGTAGAATATGTGGTTGCTTGTGGGTTGGGTTTCTTTTGTTGTTGTTTCTTGAGTATGTCTCTTCTGGTAGGGCACCTGGCAGCAAGAGTAATGGTGGTCATTCTTGCAGTTCAAGCATTTAGGTGGTGAAGCAGTAGTGCAATTCTTGAAGTCATGACCCTCACGGCCACAGGTGGAGCAGAACTTCTTGTCCTTGGTAGGACAATCATTTGTGGTGTGTAAGTATGAGTAACAATTATAGCACTGTGAGATATGTTGGAATTTCTCTGCTTCGATGAAGGCTGGGTTGATGTGGAAGTAGTGAATAGCCAGGCCCTCAGCGAGAGCTCTGGCTGCCATGTTGACGTCACTGAAGGTGACCTTCAGCATGGATGAAGCATTGGGTATTTTAGTAATGAAGTCCACCTTGGCCCAAGGGTTCTTTGCTTCGATAGATGACTTGATTTCTTCAGTGGCCTGTACAGTGATAAGGTTGTCGAGTCGCTTGAGGAACACAGTTCTCCTGGCCCTCAGTGCTGGGGAAGTCAAGACAAGAAATCCCTGGTCTCGTAGAGTGGTAGTAGCAGTGGTGGTAAGTAGTTTCTCAGCCTCTGTGTCGTCTGTACAGACGACAACAAAGGCCTCTTTGAGCGATAAAATCGCATTACATTTGACTTGCAGCCTGCCACTAACGACAGCTGCAAGTGCTAGTTTGGACGACTCATTGGTTGTGCCACTCGCTGGTTTGATCTTTACTCTGTTAGAGTAATGCATCGTGAGTGTGTGCTGGAATCTCTGTCTCACAGGTACACATAAATACAAGTATACATAGTATAAATTACCTAGGATAACCCAAGAAATCCAGACAAAGTGCTATACTCTGCTTGAAGATGTGAGTAAAAGTGATGACACAGTCTTGTGGCTCTCTGAGACAGAGAGCTAGACGGATAGACAGATAGACAGGGAGCTTGACAGACAGACAAATAGACAGACAGAAATGTTAGTGTACCAGTACCAGTGTACTAGTGTTCCACCCCCCCCTCCTCCTCCTCCTCTTCTTCCTCTCTCCTCTTTCCCCCTACTCTTCCTCCTCTTCCCCCTACTCTTCCTCATACTCTTCCTCTTCCTCCTCCTCCTACTCTTCCTCTTCCTCCTCCTCCTCTTCCTCCTCCTCTTCTTCCTCTTCTTCCTTCCTCCTACTCTTCCTCCTCCTCCTCCTCTTCTTCCTCTTCCTCCTCTTCCCCCTAATCTTCCTCCTACTATTCCTCTTCCTCCTCCTCTTCCTCTTATTCCTCTTCCTCCTACTCTTCCTCCTCCTCCTCTTCTTCCTCTTCCCCCTACTCTTCCTCCTCCTCCTCCTCCTCCTCGTCCATAGTGTAAATTACAAGGAGTCGGCAGCTGTCAAAGTGACATATTGGCTCATTACTCTTTCCCCCTCCGGCCTGTCAAAACAATGGGGTCGGATGCTGCTTCCCCTCCTCCATTCTATCTAATTATCTTTCTCTCCCTCATTCTATCTGTCTGTCTATCTCTGTCTCACAGGTACACATAATACAAGTATACATAGTATAAATTAACCTAGGATAACCCAAGAAACCCAGACAAAGTGCTATACTCTGCTTGAAGATGTGAGTAAAGTGATGATGCAGTCTTGTGGCCTCCTGAGACAGGAGCTAGATGGATAGACAGGGAGCTTGACAGACAGGCAATAGACAGACAGAAATGTTAGTATACCAGCAAAAACAAAGGGAGGGCGATGTTCATCTCATCTTTTGGCATCAGCTCTACCCTCATTTACCCTCATCAAACGTCAGCACTTATCAGATGTTATCTCCCCTTATCTTGTTACTGTCATGGGTGAACATTTATTATTACATATTATTATTATTACCTATTATTATTATTTTATGTTATTATTATGTATTATTATATTATGTATTATTATTATTATGTATTATTATTATGTATTATTGTTATCATTACGTATTCTTCTTCTTCTTCATTCCTCCTCCTCCTCCTACTTTCCTCCTCCTCCTCTCCTCCTCCCTCCTCCTCCTCTCTTCCTCCTCCTCCTCCTCCTCCTCCTCCTCCTCCTCCTCCTCCTCCTCCTCCTCCTCCTCCTCCTCCTCCTCCTCTTCCTCTTCTTCCTCCTCCTCTTCTTCCTCCTCCTCCTCCTCCTCCATCCTCTTGCCTCCTCCTCCTCTTGCCTCCTCCTCCTCTTGCCTCACTCCTCCTCTGCCTCCTCCTCCTCTGCCTCCTCCTCCTCCTCCATTCTTGGAACAAGTTGAAGAGCTTGTAGTTCATAATCATTATCATCACCAATGCTCACATCTGAGTCTGGGATTTTGGAAAATAAGGAGTTTCCTCCTTTGATTCTGGTACAACTGAACAACGGCCCAGCACCAGAGGTGGAAGGCTGTGGGTTGTCTGGGTTTTCCTCACTATACCCATATTATGGTCATTAGTTTCGGTCAAAACCTCACCAGAACCTTGAAACTCATCTTCACTGTCACTTCCATCTGTATTAGAACTGTCACTGGGGAACAAAAGTGTCCCAATTCGCCGAGGAGTGAGGGAACTTCTTACCGCAGGGCACGGTGAAATTGTGTACTATGATGGCATTCCCACAATGCACCACTGGGTCCCAGATTTTTTTCCTACTAGCGCACAACCCACCACACAGACCCATTCTCTCACATCTAGGCTTATCAGCCTTTTCCGTGAGATTTGAGGCCGCTAGAATTTATGCGTACTAGTACGTCAAAAACCCCTACGCGTAAGACGTACTAGTATGACCAAAACCCTCAAAGGGTTATAGCAACTTACTCTAATGGTGTAAGCATGCACAAATTTCATCAGTCTGTAATTAAGAGCAAAAGCTAAATTGTAAAATGTACTCCAGATATCTATGAACTATGAAGTGGATAAATTCTATACTAACAGAATACATCTTTAACCCTTAAACTGTCCAAACGCAGATCACGTCCACATGCAGGGGCTCTGAACATAGATCTACTTTTCTTTTTACATGCTTTCAAATGGGGAAAATCAAGGTCGGAGCGCTATGCACGTGAACGTAGATCTACGTTTGGACAGTTTAAGGGTTAAACATACTACTATGTCAGAAGAAAAAACAAACAAAAAAAAAAATTTTTTACATGGCACATCTAAATTTACACATGGAAACATACCATCAGAATTTTCTTTGTTAAAACAGCTCAGATGATTCTTTGGTGACTGATCTTCACTGTGACTTGCATTTAACCTGAAATAAATTATAAATAGTGAAGTTTTCCAAATCCTTTCGTGGACTACAAAGCTATTTCTGTAAAGGTAATGTTCTTGTTATGGCATTAATGTGATATAATTCAATGATATATATTAAACTCTTCTGTTTGTTGCTGTTCAAGATGCCATATAATAATGTATGGTGTGCACCATCCAGTTAACTCAGCAGAATTTAGTCATTACTGGCAAATATAAAATATTTTTCTGCATTATTAAATGCTTTTAAGTTCCTATTACAATCTCAAATTACCACCTGGACTGTAGCTGCATAAAGGAAAACCCACAGAACAAATAACATTAAGCTGTATTAACTGTTAATATGTCACAACTGCTTGCATTATAAGAAAAGTGTTGAAGATTTAGACATTTGCAACATCTGGATATCTTTATTGTAGATGCTTTGTCATCAGTGCTTTATCAATACAGATTCTAGGAATATAATTGATTAGTATATAAGCGTCAGCCTCCTTGCTCTGTTCAGAATCTACACGACTACAGTGCTCTTCACATCAACTCCAAGGCTGAGGGACTGATTACCACATCTTTTGTATACAGTCCTACTGTCTTAAAATTATGTCCTAGAATCTGTATTGATAAAGCCACTGGATGGCGAAACATCTACAATAAAGATATCCAGATGTTGCACATGTGTCTAAATCTTCATCCTGTCGGTATTGTATACCATCTTGTACAATTTGTCAGACACTGCATCATCATGGAATCTTGGTTCAAAGGACATCTACATGACTTTCTTCACAGCTACTACAACTTATCCATCCCTTTGGGTATGACCTACTTCCACTGGGGAATCCCACCTACCAGTGACTATGCCCTCAGTGTGGGGAAGGCACGTGGAAGGAAGTAAAGCAGCTGGAACTGATGGGATCATAACAAATGTTAAAAGCAAGAAGAAATAGTGTTAGAGTGGTTGGTATTTTTGTTTAATAAATGTATGAAAGCGGGGAAGGTACCTAGGGATTGGCAGAGCACTTTTTTTTTTTTTTTTTAAACAAGTCGGCCGAATCCCACCAAGGCAGGGTGACCCAAAAAGAAAGAAAATCTCCAAAAAGAAAATACTTTCATCATCATTCAACACTTTCACCTCGCTCACACATAATCACTGTTTTTGCAGAGGTGCTCAGAACACAACAGTTTTGAAGCATATACGTATCAAGATACACAACATATCCCTCCAAACTGCTAATATCCCGAACCCCTCCTTTAGAGTGCAGGCATTGTACTTCCCATTTCCAGGACTCAAGTCCGGCTAAACAAAAATAACAGGTTTCCCTGAATCCCTTCACTAAATATTACCCTGCTCACACTCCAACAGATCGTCAGGTCCCAAATACTATTCATCTCCATTCACTCCTATCGAACACGCTTATGCACGCCTGCTGGAAGTCCAGAGCATGTGTAGTTCCTTTATATAAAGGAAAGGGGGACAAAAATGATTGTAAAAATTATAAGGGAACAAGTTTACCGAGTATACTAGGTAAAGTGTATGGTAGGGTTATTATTGAAAGAATTAGAGGCAAGACGGAAAGCAGGATTGCAGATGAACAAGGAGGCTTTAGAATGGGAAAGGGATGTGTAGATCAAGTGTTTACATTGAAGCATATATGTGAACAGTTTTTAAATAAAGGTAGGGAAGTTTTCACTGCATTTATGGATTTAGAAAAGGCATGTGATGGAGTGGACAAGGGAGAATTTGTGGCAGATGTTGCAAGTGTATGGAATAGATAGTAAGTTACTAAATGCTGTAGAGGATAGCAAGGCTCAGGTTAGGGTGCGTAGGAAAGGAGATTACTTCCCAGTAAAAGTAGGTCTTAGACAGGGATGTGTAATGTCACCATGGTTGTTGTAACATATTTACAGGGTTGTAAAAGAAGTAAATGCTAGGGTGTTGGGGAGAGGGGTGGGATTAAATTATGGGGAATCAAATACAAAATGGGAGTTGACACATTTACTTTTTGCTGATACTGTGCTTTTGGGAGAGTCTAAAGAAAAGTTGCAAAGGTTAGTGGATAAGTTTGACAGGGTGTGTAAAGGTAGAAAGTTAAAAGTGAACATAGGTAAGAGTAAGGTAATGAGGGCATCAAACAATTCAGATAAAGAAACATTGGGTATAACATTGGAGGGAGTATGGAAGAAGTGAATGTGTTCAGATATTTGGGAGTTGACTTGTCAGCAGATGGGTTTATGAAGGATGAGGTTAACTATAGAACTTATGAAGGAAAAAAGGCGAGTGGTGCATTGAGGTATATGTGGAGACAAAGAATGTTATCCATTGAGGCAAAGAAAGGAATGTACAAGAGTCATACCAACACTCCTATATAGGTGTGAAGCATGGGTTGTAAATGCTGCAGCAAGGAGGCTAGAAGTAGTGGAGATGTTGTGTCTAAGGGCAATGTGTGGTGTAAATATTATGCAGAAAATTCATAGTGTGGAAATTAGGAGGAGGTGTGGAGTTACTAAAAGTATTAGTCAGTGGACTGAAGAAGGGTTGTTGAGGTGGTTAGGTCGGTCGTTTAGAGAGAATGGAACAAAGCAGAATGACCTGGAGAGCATATAAATCCATAGGGAAAGAAAGGCAGGGTATTAGTCATCCTCAAAAAGGTTGGATGGAAGGGGTAAAGGAGATTTTGTTGGTGAGGGGCTTGGACTTCCAGCAAGCGTGCGTGTGTTAGATAGGAGTGAATGGAGACCAATGGTTTTTGGGACCTGATGAGCTATTGGATTATGAGCAGGGTAATATTTTGCCTCTGCAAAGACAGTGATTATGTACAAGTGATAGTGAAAGTTTTTTTTTTTCTTTCTTTCTTTTTGGCTCACCCTGCCTCGGTGGGAAATGGCTGGTGTAAAAAAAAAAAAATAGTATACTGCAACAAAGTTAACATTATTATTTAAATCAATGAAAATATATTAGTGTGATATTCCAGCTTATTATTAAGTTTATGAACATCCTGGGTACAACTTGGGTCTTGGTGTAAACTTCTCTGTGGGTGTGACAAACCCTACATCACTGACTCCATTGTCATAACCACATGAATGTAAGTAAGCCAAATACTTACATCAGTTATTTGTCTTTTACTTACATTTCCACTATGCTACTGTATCCTGTTCAGTTACAAAACTGGTTGACTGCATTTGCCATAGTAAACAGTTCTATAAAAGTTCCACTACAATAATATTCGGTAGAGTGCGATGTGAAGAACTTCAGCGAATAAAATAGTATACAATACCAATACAATATTATATCACTAATTGGCAAAGATTTTTTTTATATTTCACCAAGATTATGGTTTAATATTTTAATATAATGAATAGCCATAATTTTTACTTACCTATTGGAATTAACAAGATTTTCTAGTGCATGATTGGAGTCCGTGTGCCTGTTTTTGATGGAAGGTGAATGAACATTTCTATGGCGGCGTATCGTGGGTAGTCTAGTAACAAAAGATGCATTGTGTTTGAAGCTGTAAGGAGAAAGAATTTATTAACCCCAATTAATATTGTATATAACATCTATATGCCATAAAATTAAATTGGAAAGAATCGTTGCTAACTGGACTTATTCAAAGAATGTTCAATGAACAGAAATAATGCAATTACATATTCTAAGAACATGATAAAAACAGAATAAATATTAATAAGAACTTCACTGAAATACATAACAGTGCAATCTTGAAGTAATTAGATTTTCTAATGCTTAATAAACACCTGCTAGAATTATACTTTGGTTTTTTTAAACTACCTTGATAAGATGACAGACACCCTTTCTCAACTAGCAAAAAGGTACCCCAAATATGCCCTAGGAGAGAGAATAAAAAGAAGAACATTAATGGAAGAAGTCATCTCAGGAGCTGGTAATGAAAATATTGGCAAAAGAATTTGTGCAAGTCGAAGCAGACAAAATGGCAATTGCCATGGATAGTGTGCAAAGGCTGTTTTTACCAATTTCTATGCTTCTTCATAAAATTTAAGCAAATTAACATTTATAAGAGAAAATTCAATAAAAATTTATAAGAGAAAAATATATAATTGTGTATGTATATATCTACATATATATTATTGTAACTATGAACAAGTGGTATTTAAATGATAACAAACTGCAGCTAGCCAGGGGATCAAACCCATGTTGTTTTAGCCCACCTCGTGGGAAGAGTGAAAATTCATGATGCTCTAAACCAGTAGACCATACAATCCTATAAACATGAGCCTAGCGAGCTGGGCTTGCTTCATGTTGTGAGGACATATGATGGTGTGGTTGCCTAGTTAGAACATAAGAAAGAAGGAACACTGCAGCATGCCTACTGGCCCATGTGAGGCAAGTCCAATTCTCCTACAGGGTTAAGCCAACACCCTAACCTAGTCAGGTCAGGTCATATTCTATTAAGAAAGGAGCACGGCATCTAACCTAGTAGCACAAGTTAGTCAGGTCCAACTCGCACCCACCCACTCTTGTATTTATCTAACCTATTATTAAAACTACACAATATCTTCTATAACGGTACTCAGGAGTCTCTTCCACTCATCCACAACACTATTACCAAACCTGAACTTTCTTATATCCTTTCTGAATCTGAATTTTTTCCAACTTAAAGCCACTGCTGCGAGTCCTGTCTAGGCTAGGTATTTTTAGCATGCTATTTACATCCCCTTTATTTATTCCTGTTTTCCATTTATACACCTCAATTATATCCCCCCTAATTCTACGCCTTTCTAGAGAGTGCAGATTCAGGGCCCTCAGTCTATCCTCATAGGGGAGATTTCTAATACATGGGATCAACTTTGTCATCCTCCTTTGTACATTTTCCAGTGCATTTATATCCATTCTGTAATAAAGTGACCAGAACTGTGCAGCATAATCTATATGAGCCCTAATCAAAGATATATAGAGTTGAAGAACAACCTGAGGACTTCTGTTATTTATACTTCTTGATAAGAAGCCAAGGATTCTGTTAGCTTTATTGTGAACACTTATGCACTGTAGGCTCATGCTGTTTGTAGGACTGTATGGTCCAGTGGTTTAGAGCATTGTGAATTTTCACTCTTCCCACAAGGTGAGCTAAAACAACACGGGTTTGATCCCCCAGCTAGCCACAGTTTGTATATATATGCATATATATACCTATACCTATATGTAAGCACACACTAATATCAAGTCCTTATACAAATGAGCTATTACAAACAGCCAAACTTTCCACACATCAAAACTGCATAATACATATAATTAATCAAATCCAAAATATTGCTGTATAGATGGATTTCAAAATAAAAGTTTTCCTAGTTAAGGAGTAATTCAGGAAGCAGTACACAAGCAGTTGGCACAAGGACAAGGACAAATACATAAGATATACTCTAAAGGAAAGAATAATAGATAAGAGTTTAAATTTCTTGGAATATAACCCATCACACACACTTTACGTACATCCTTATTTATCTAAACATAGGATACAAATGTGCTTGAAATTAATTATAATTAAAGTATCTCCTTTTAAACCACAGAACAGGTGGTATCTGAACCCACGGCAAGTGAGCTGTAAACTCCAGGCCAGTTTGCAAGCCACTGGGCCAGCTGGTTACAATATGATTTAGCCCAGTGTCTTAAGCACTGGCCTGGAGTTTTACGACTCGCTCACCGTGGGATCAAACCCCACCCAGTCCCTGGTTTGTTTCCAATCATGTTGTTATGATTTCGTGAGTCTCCTTTTAATTTACTTTAATTCATGGTGCCTACTGCTCTGAAACATTGCTGATCATTGATGCAATTTCAGGAAGTCTTTTAAACTGTGTGATGACTTTGCAAACTGAGTTTATTTTCAAGCATGAAAAAAGATTTAGTGATATAGATTATAAAAGGCTGAAAAAAATGAGAATTGAAAATATCTCATTTTTATACTGTATTACAAATACAGGTATTTAAAATCATTACTGAAACATGGAGATAATTATGGAATATGTTACGATCCATTATTTTTGTATGAAAATCCTAAAACATTAAATAAATTCTTAAAGAAACCATCTGGTTCTGAAAATTATTTAAATTTCACACCATAAAACAATTATTCTTATTTTAAAATTAATGAACACTGATATGGCACTGTCATCTTGAAGTAACATTTTCCTTAACAATGTACATTCCTTCAGCTTTCACAGAACATGTTTTCATTCAAATAGTTTATCAAAAGTGTCTAAGTTTCTTCAACTCAATATTATTAATTAACTTTTGTACATATGAAGATCTCTGCCTCTTCCTTATGTAGAAATGCATTCCATTCTCTAAGAATACAATGACCAATTTTACATTTGCTTTTCTTTGCATTTCAGCCTCGCTAAATTTATCATCTTGTAATTGATAAACCGCATCTTCAAGATCTCGACTTGTTATAATGGTCGTGACAAAATTGTTAAACACGTGTGGGACATTCAACATGTGTAACAGAAGGGTGCAGACATTGGCAGAAGTGTAGACAATGTCAGTCTCAAAAAATTTGCATTTCTGCATTAACCCTTTCACTGTCTCGTACATAGATCTATGTTACTGACACCTGGGTCGCGTATGTAGGTCTACATTTTGAGCTCGGCTTCCTCAAATAAGCTGTGAGCAGTAAATTTTGGCCTGTGCAGTGAGGGGTGCACATTATAAAGAATCCAACTTCACACAGTGCAAGATGAGAAAAGAAAACGTCTGACCTTGTATCTGGGTAAAAAGAGTGAATCTGAGGTGTTTTCTAGGCTGGATTTTATGGCTCTATTGGCTCTTTCTTGGTATCATTTGATAGAATGGAAGACATAATACTGAAATAGGGATGATTCTGGTTGGTTTCAGGACCAGTAGCAGCTTGAAACTAGAGTCCAAATAGTGGAAATATTAAATTTTAATGATTTCTCTGAGGATGGGTAAGGGTCCTTTACACTTTCCAGTCTATTCAGTGCATTTTTTACTATTTTGTTTTAATAACTGGGATACTGTAAACCATGACCAATCATTCCTGGTTAATTTCATCAAGAAATAGGACAAATTTTCAAACTTTTTTGTAATGATGAATTAAAAATGGAGGGTAAGTGTAATGTAGGAGAGACCTGAGGATGTGATTAATGAACCGAGGAAATGTTGCTCTTGTTCCTGGAATTTCTATAGTGTTTATTTTGGACTCTGTTTTTAAATTTGAATTTGTTTTTTTATTTTGTGTATAATTGGCGGTGTTATGCGCTCAATCAACAGAACAGAAGGCACTACAGTGAAATAGCTAAGAATTTGGTTGAACTGAGAAACAGAATTGGCTTAATTATTATTATAATCAAAAGGAAGTGCTGAACCTACCAGGGTCATACAGCACTGCAGGGTAGAAATTGATGCAGGATCTAAGGGTAAATAAGGGTGGGGATGACAATAAAGGTAAAGTTAGGAGGGGCTGTGAGGAGCGCTTAAGAAAGGGTTATCAAAGTTAGTGTAATAAATCATTTGCTGTCAAAAAGTAGTCAAACAGAGAGTCTGTGTCAAAGGTGGGTCCGTCAGCCAGGAGGGAAAAAGTAAGGGCGTTAGAGTGTAAAGACTCGAAAGTGGGTTTAATTGCACCCAGACTGCTAAACACCTTCAGAAGATGATTCTCTACCATTTCAGAAAAATGCTTCTTAGAGCTTCTGACACTGAAGGGATTAAAGGTGTGACTTTCCACAAGCAGAAAGAGCATTAGAGCATTAGTTTGAGGATGGAAATGAAGTCTACAACCTTCTTGATAAATGGCACAGTCAAAATATATCTGACTATCAGAACACTTTGACAATCCTCACAGTAACACTGGGCATCTTTCCATGAAATATCTATGCAAGAGTCTCATGGCTCCTGCATGCAGTTACACAAGTCGTTTCCCCAAAACTAAGAGCAAAGAAAGGAGAAATAAAAACTCTTGATAGTTTGTAATACACTTTGGAAGTGTGACCACAGTAAATAAGGCAAAGGATGTGGCAGTGATGAATATGGCAACAACACACAACTCTACTGTGAAAATACTGGCGGTCTCCAGCAAGTGTTCTTGGATCAGATGATCAGGTAAAACCTGAAGTGAGGGTAAGGCCCAAGATACTCTGCTTATCAAGATAATTTCTAACAATAGATTATGTGTATGAAAACTTAAAGATTTAACAATATGGTTGACAAGTCCAACAAATGACAATGAAAAATCCAGGTAGACACCCAGATCCCCCACAGGCTACAAACTGATAGGGCCACAATCAAAGGCACCAATCTTTCTCTTCAATACTTCTCCAAGGTTGCCCCAGCACTCCAGATTTTGGTCTTACCATCACTTAAATTTTGTAGTTAGTCATTCAAGTCTTAATATCCACCAAAAACATCTTCCACATTTAAAATAAAGACAAAGCCTTGTATATCAAAATGAAAATGAAAATCAATCCCATAGGCATCCAACAATAGGCTAGGCCACTAACAGTAAACAATGCCAGTACAAAA